AAACACACACACACACACACACACACACACACACACACACACACACACACACAAACACACACACGCCACACACACAAACACACATAGACACGAATTCTAGCAATTCGTTCGTTTTTTCAATCAACCTCTATTTATATATTTCGAATGTGCTTGCCATTCTATATCAAAGACAACCATTGACGAACATCACATACATGTAGGATATCATGGCCATCGTTTCATTTTGCTTGAATGATATACATGTAATATGGGCTGAAGAAATCACATTGTTGGTACGTACACACAGTAGAAACTGCCTTTAAAAAGCAGCTTAAAAACAGTTGAAGATATTATTTACAAAAAATCCCCAAAACCTCTCGATCACTTTGAGCACAATACATTGGCAAAAAATAATATTGGGGCTGATAATATTGTTACTTTTATATGAATGGTTCTTACTACCACGGATGGCCGTTAAAAATAAAGGGATTATTACAGTGACTGCAGCTGCTGCTCTGAATGCGAACCTCCAAAAAAACTGCCACTCCTCCACCCTCCCCCAACCATATATCCCCTCCACTTTCACCCTTGCACTCATCTTTTCTGATACGAACCCCGAAGATGGAATAGACAAGACATCCAATCAGCGTCAAAATTGCCACAGTTGTTTGAATCAATCTTGAAGACATCTTTGAAGGAGAATTTCTCACCAAATATGACTTTCTGGTAAATGAAAATACCGCTGTGTTCAAAAGTCAGTTCTTAATATTTTCTGGATCAGTGCATCTCAAATAGATATTTTGAAAATCATAAGGTAGATTTTTTTTTAAAACCTCGTTGAATCAGTTAGTGTGCTCCTACGGTACCACCTTCCGTCCTTTAAGACAAGGTCACCAAAAAAAAAATAAAAAAAAATCTTAACCGTCGTGGAAAGCAACGTCACAGGAAAGGATTTTAATTCAAAACCGAAATCTAAGTGCAACCCAAGATTGACCCTAATCAACTGTTCTAGATTTCAAAATATCAAAAACAATCCCTGACATGGTAGACATGATGTTAAAATCACGAAGGTCCCTTCAAATACATAATATTGTTATCTTTATAAACCATACAATAAGCTCATCTAAAATATCATATTCTTTTCACCAGTTGTGTTGACGAAAAAGGAAATTGAATCAACTACCAATTAAAACGTCTTATCAGTTTGTTTTTTTAAAAGATACAGTCGAGCCTGCTCTAAAGGCCACGTAAGACAATCACCAGTACAAACGGTCACCCCCCCCCACCCTCTTGCGATTTTCTAACATTATAATGGCACTGTGTAAGACATCCAATGTGTACGACAATCGCTTTTCTCCTCCTCCATGGGTGGCCGTCCAAAGCATGTTCGACTGTAGTTACCTTGGTAACAGAATCCGTATTCCAATATCTCGTTCTCTACAAAAGTTGATTAACAAATTCATGCGCGTTAAATTCCTTCCCAGGAACGTCCTATAGACCCGCGTCTCTCGTTGTGATTTGCTCCTTGCAGGAGAGCTTGCTGTGCTGCGAGTATGGCGAACAGGAAGCAGACGACGAGGGAGGTCGTTGAGCAGACGTGACGATTCGCGTGGTTCTCTTGCTGCAGAGTATCTACCCCTGGGGATGACATACGGGGAGACAACTACAGAATTACGGAAAGTTCAAAGAGTCCTGTGAGTTCTAAATTTAAACTGCCCTCAACCCCCCCCCCCCTTTTA